GCATCAGACCCTTTTCCTTGGCCTCCCATCAGGGTCTACACGCTACACTCACGGGCAACTTATCATGAATACAATCAAGAATTGTGTTGGTGTAACAAAATTAAGACAATTTTTATTGATTTTATCAAGCTTGCTATCTGGACGCAACTCATGGTTAGGAGATGAAAAGAAGCTTTGGAGAGTGTCTCAGATTTATCTGATCTTGTTTTTATAGATATCATCGGAAGCCGAAGATATGTAGACCAAGATGGTTCGGCTCTCGGCATGGTCGCAGTCTCCTTTCGATTTATAGAAGTGAGTTGGTCTTGTTTTCGCCTTGACCTTGTCGTCAAGGCGACTTAGTTGAAGACACCTTGTCAGAAATCCTTTGCCATAGCAGTTATCATAATTCCCAGCATCAGATCGTAGACTTGATACATTCTCAGACGTTTCGCTGGCATCGTAGTCGGCACCATCAGTGAGTCTCCGTTCAAGTTGCGAAAACAAGGTCAACCAACTTCATATACTCAGCCAAATTGAGGGAATTGAGTAATGCGACGAAAAGTTTGGTTTCTAGGACCTTCTAGGTTTATAATTGTTGAGCTTACATTTCATTACGAGTGAATGTGTGTTGGGGAAGAGATTATGGGGTTGATCCCACCGGAAAACGATGGTGAATTCCTCTTAGCCAACTGTCCAGTTGCCGGGACAATCTACTATTCTGTGGAAGAAGTGCTGAGCTTTCGCTCGTCATATGACGGACATCATTCTTACAAACATATTCAAGCCGGCTCTTTGATGCGGTATAAAGTGATTTGATTAGTTTAAGTCATACATCAATCTCGAAACATGTGAATGTGTTTGCCTAACTCATTAGCTTGAATATGGTTGTCTGAATGATAACCTTATCTGTGGATGCTCGTCATATGACGGACGGAGGCTTAGCTAGTTTTCACTAACTTCAACAAGAATATTCCAATAAAGCTGGTTCACAGGAACCCGTCGTCGTCTTCCGTTGAGATCGGTCTTGGAATATCGAAACGCAAATGAATTCAACAATCAATTGAATAAAACATTTTTTCAAATAAAGCTTCGCAACTCGATCGTGTTGGCGATGAAGCAACTGATGAGTTGAAGCTAGGTCTGATTGTTAGTCGAGGAGTTTTTCGAACAAATCGACATTCACGGTGAAGCCAATTGACACATTCCCTCCACTCGCCCCTTCAAAATGAAACGAAATGTGCGCCAACATCGTGATCAAGATGATTTGACTGACGACGCAACATGGCGACTTGTCAATCCTCCTGTGAAGGTGTCGGTAGATGCTGTTTGGCCTTTTGCCTATAGGTCCCCTTTGTCTGCTCTCGCGTTTGTCTTTGGCATGTTGATTTGCGTGTTTTTGTTTTTTCCCTCTCACGAGTTGTCGACGCGGATGCAGGTTGACTGAATTCATGCCCCAGCTTTCAGTTCCCGTCCAGCTGTGAAGACTGTCTTCCTCAACACCGACGAACTCGGTCCAGTTCGTGTCTCTATCTTTTACCGGTTTTTAGGCTATAAACACATCCAAAGTTAACAGATGCCAGAAGTGGCAACGTGTATAATAGTAGTCAGGGCGTCTGCTGTCGTCGGACCTTGGCATTCCGGTTGCCTTTGCGTCGTTGAGACAAACTACCCACCCGGAAAACTCGGCCTGTCGCCCAAACGGGCCTGTGCTTGCCCGCGTGTGTGTATGCATGCGTGTGTCGGTATGAGGCGTCTTGGCGTTGTTTGTAATGCTGCTTATCTGTCGCCTTGGATGCCGCAACAACAGCATGGATCCACATGCCCAGCTCTTTTAATGCCAGCCATTTGGATACATGCAGGCTTGTAGAGTTTCTGCGCCTTGTCCAATCCTTCGACTTGTTTCAACAAATTCCTTCGCTGTGTCCCTCCTCACAGGCCACATGTGAAGCTATACATACATGCACATACTAGTCCACATGAGAGAGAGAGAGAGAGAGAGTGAAACGGATAGAACGATGGATAGAGACTTTAGCGTCTTCTTGTGAAAATGGTGAAATTTGAGTAGGGCTCTCACCCACTCCCTCGCCCGCACACATGCGGACACTTGGACGCATGCATGCGTGTACACGCATAGACGCTCATCCTCGCGATGCCCACCCTTTTGTAGTGTTACAAGTATCCTCATGGTCCCTACGCCCAGTCAGCCATGCAGAGAAGCAATCGATTGGCCGATTTGCCGGCCATAAAACTCCCACTCCTCTTCGCCACACCTTCCAGCCGAATGGCCACTTCCACCTCATACACACCCACTCGCGCATACATTAACACGCACACAAACTATCGCACGCAAGAACACACACTCCCACATGTACACACTGTACGCACACACACACATGAATAGCCACCCTCTCTTGCTATCAACAAATTTATTTCTCAACTCCATGTCGCGGTTGTCAAAATTCTGTCCACACTTAACAAAACTAAGCCTGATCGATCACGTCATAGAAATCATCAACACTTTCCCGTCTCACAATCACTGAGGCTGGGATGCTGGTGATTGTGGTGGTGGTGGTGGTGGTGTGGTCCACTCGTAAGGGGATCGTGACTGTCGTGGACATGCAGAATCGCTTGACTGCAGTTGAGCCTTTCAACAAACAGACAACTCTAGACGTGTGTTCATATTATTTATGCCAACTTTTCACATCTCCCAGAGCCAGCCTCAGGTGTGAAGGAGATGCTGAGGTTCAGTCTGACGTATGTCATCGCTGCGGCAACAAGTACTTTCCGGGCAGAGGGCTTAAGCTGACTTCATGAGTGATATGCTTTTTCCAACTTGCCCGAATGATGACTGTCTGGCTGGATGAACTCCGCGTTGGCCACATTCTGTCAGCTGTCTTTAACTGCCTTGACTCATCTGCCCCAGGGCATGTGGCGTAAACATGACTGTTTGCATGCATATAAATCCGTCCACAACTTTTTATCCTTACTTCGCTCTGTGGGATGGTGCTCGTTTTATGCGTGTGCAAACCTGGCAGAGCCGTCGTTCTGTGGAATACTTGGCTTCTGGTTGCCTGGTTTACAAGAAGCAACCGAAATGCTGACAGTCTACTTGTTCATTAATCGGGCAATCAGATAGTCAATCATTTGACGAGCTAACTTGTTGATCTACCCAAGAATCCACTTCTAGGCCCATTTTATGGCGGCCATTTTGTCTGAGGTGGGAAGGCATATGAAACTGTATCCTATCCGACTGGTTCAGCAACGCCTGCTCATAAGACCCCGTACACTAACCGGAATTTATTAAATACTGGCGGCAAATGAACCCCGTCTCCGGGCTCCCAGCGTTCCTTTTTCGAGTTCACGCATTATGAAACCATTTTTATATTACTCTCCTTATCCAACCTACCTACTAACATACATGCACACATACATACATACATACATACATACATACATACATACATACATACATACATACATAC